ATACTTTATTTGGTCAGTCAGTATAAAAATGTATATCCGGTAAACCAATTCAAAACTAATAATTCGTACAAAACTTAAATCAATAACTTTCCAAAATCTGTTCCTATTTTAAAGCAATCATCATAACTAGCAATAGCAATCTTATTAACACTATATCCATATTGTGTTTTCAAAACTTGCATATCACATTTGATTTAACATAGAAAATGAAAACGAAAAGTTCGGTCCCCCTTAATTGACATACATTATCTTTTGCAAATCACGTGTGACTTACTTACAAAACGAATATACTGTTTTAAACTCTTAAAAATGTATATTAAAATAATTTAAAGACATATATTCTGTTTTCTTCACATTCAAATCACAAGTTCACAACTGAAAACCAATGTTGTTAAGATTTGTTATTAAACTTATCCCACTCGGATCAACAATATATATATATATATATATATATATATATATATATATATATATATATCATGCCTTAAGCTTGGAAGCACATCATAATTCATAAAATATCCTAAACATGTCTAAGAAGTAAGAACTCAAACTCAAAAAAATTAAACAAAAATTTCTCACTATTTTGTTTTCCGGGAATAATCTGTTACAATCATAAGATTTGGACCTCATCTAATATTTCCTATTGTGATAGTCCATTTATTATCTTTACGCAGATAATTTATTAATAAAATTATAACTTAGGTTTTGATAATATAGCTTAATATATTACTTATTTTAAATATAGTACATTTCTGTAGTTTTTTAATTCATAATCTCAAATTTTAGTTTACATTTGAAACTAATAAAAGATGTTCCAGATGATAAAACTCCTATTTTTAGTTAGTTATTTATATATTTAATGCAAATCCAGTTAAATAAAAATACTAAAACAAACAACTAATATAATTGGCGGGTCTATAAATAATTAAGTTTGTTGCGTTTAAACTNATTTCTGTAGTTTTTTAATTCATAATCTCAAATTTTAGTTTACATTTGAAACTAATAAAAGATGTTCCAGATGATAAAACTCCTATTTTTAGTTAGTTATTTATATATTTAATGCAAATCCAGTTAAATAAAAATACTAAAACAAACAACTAATATAATTGGCGGGTCTATAAATAATTAAGTTTGTTGCGTTTAAACTGAATATTTGTGTGTATAATGTCATATTAAGCATATTTTCATATATATATATATATTTTTTTTTTTGACATCCATATATATATATATATATATATATCTTATGTTAATTAGAAAATTATATTATCAAACATATAAAAATACTGGTCAATATAAAAAAATAAAATCAACACCCGTGCGGGCGCACGGGTCAAAAATCTAGTTTTCATTGATATCATAACAGATTTTAAAGTCGTTATAGAAATTTGAATTTATTTATTACATAAGTAATATGTGTCATATACTAAATTTAATAAAATATAACTATAAAATGAATTAGGAATAGTTTCGTTTAAAATTTTATTCACTAACAAATTACTTAATTTGTAGAAACTTCCTTAATACAGTGGTTTGGTTAAAAAAAAATAGTAAACCATTTCCAGAGAGAGAATGTGAAAGTTCTGGTGGTCACGTGCAATGGTTTAGTTAAGAATTCATTAATGTTTTTTACACCAGAAAAATTCGAACTTAAGAAAATACAATTGTGCAGATTATAGAGAAAAAAATATTACAAAAAAATTTCAGCATGGTGCAGGATGTACCATAAAACATGGATCTCATAGGACGGTATGGAATGACGTAGTCAAACGATCTTTACTATAGTGCATGACGTACCATCGAACATAGATCTCATACGATGAATGATCCTTTTATGAGGTGGCAAATGATCCTTTTATGAAGAACACACATTTTACTATTGAATGCCATGGTATGTTTCGGAGTGCTGCGACTACTCAGACTACTCAGACTACTCATGTCTCGAGTCACTGGGTTTGGTCTTGTTTAGAGGTATCTATAAATTAATACTCGATAAGTTAATAATCTCTCTACATTAATAAATTTTACCGGTCCCAACTTGGACCGGTTCAAAATTTGACACAAATCAATAAAATAATAAGATAATATTTTTTTAGAAAGTTCTATGTAAATATATGGTCCAATTAAAATTATAAATTAATAATTTATATTTGTACATATTTTCTATAAGTAAGAATCTATTATTATACTGTTTGTTTTATATTTACAATAGAATTATCTTTATATTTTCTTGACACTTAATATATTGTTGATGAGATTTAGTAATATTATATCTAAAATCATATTTAAATTCTATGAAATAAATATTATATACACCAAATAATATAAGAAATTTAATATAAATTTCAAATTTCAAAATTCAAAAAATGATAATAAATATCTATACACTAAAATAAAATATTTTCTTATTTTACAATAAATATATTTTAAAATAAAAACTCTAAATAAGGAAACTTTGATAAATTAATATCTCTATAGATTAATTAAATTTCAAAGTCCCAGCATTATTAATTTATAGAGGTTTAACTGTATTCGATCTACCATCATTCATTTAAACCTTTTGTCTCACGGTACCTTTTCATTGTATTCCATTTGTATATGTTATCGTCTAATTTCTACTATGTTATCATGCTTTGTTTTTCTGGCTTAGTTTCTAAAATGTTATCTTGGTGATGTAGGATGGCTGTTTACTTGATGTTAGTAGTCACATACTTTATTCGCCTCTTCCCTGCCAAACTCCTTTGCCTGGATTTCAAAGCCTTCGCTTTTGTGTTTCCCATTATGAAGAGAAGGATAGATTACTCTTGAAAAACTTGTGTTTTGTTCTTGGAGCAAAATTCGTGGAAAACCAAACCAGGAAAGTGACTCACTTGCTATGCGAACTCACTAACGGTCCTAAGTATGAGGCAGCTTCCAGGTGGGGAATAATTTCCGTGACAGCTGACTGGGTTTATGAATGCGTTAGACAGGTAGGCTTACAGGTCTTTTAAATAGATGAACAATCAAGTAATCTTGCTCGTCCTTTAAATTCTGGAGATGGCATTGGTTGTGGAAATGACGTACTAGTTCCAGATGTGGCTGATGCTATTGAGGATCTCTTAGAGCAGATGAGTAAAGTGAGTATTGTTTGCTTCTCTCTCGAATTATTTAATCTGAGTTATATTTTCTCAAGTATTCACCTCTGGTTTCTGTTTAGATTCAAGATCAGAACTCTCCTGAGAGTGGGAGGATCTCAGAGAAAACTGTATCCTTATAGTTTGTGTGCTCGTTCAATCTTTTTTACCCTCCATATACTTTGATTCGAAATGGGTAACTCTCGTGTTCAAGAAATCTATCTTAATCTTGTTACTACTAGTTTAACCAATGTTATTGTAAAATGTGTCTTCCAACATTGAGTTTATTACTCTATGAAGGTAGTCTCTATGTTGTAGAAACAAACATCCATTAAAGAATGCCATCAAAGTCATGAATCATATGTAGAGAGACACAGTTACAAATTTATCAAATGATGCAGACAAGTGAGACAACAAAGATTCATACATCACATGAAAACAAAAAAAAAAAAATACAAAGCCGGAAGAACAGATGATGCCAAATTATCAAATTATTAAACTTGGCATTTAATAACTTGAGAGACAATACATCATGATGGTAGATAATATTTAAAGAGTCTTCACAGCTAGAAAACGAGGCTCCTTAGGCATGAACTTCTGTGTTGCATAAACATCCATGTAATCTCCAAACACAAACTTTGGATACTTCTTCTCACTTCCTTCCTCCATCCCTGCCGCCGCCGCCGCCACCGCTGCTGGCCCAATGGCCGCCTTGTACGACGGATTGTAGAAGGAAGCTATGGACCTTCTGTTTCCTTCTTCCCTCGCCAACACCCTATGCCATGCACTCTTGTACCTGCCAAACCCAAACCGGTTTAATTTCAAGTAAACCAAACCGGTCTAATTCAAAAGCCTTAAGATGTTAAAATACCTTCCGTTGCTAAGAACTTCAATCTGATCACCAGTGTTGATAACAATAGCATTAGGCATCGGCTGAACATCGATCCACTCTCCATCTTTCAACACTTGAAGACCATCATACTCATCGTCTTGGAACAACAAAACCACACCTCCTGCATCAGTATGAGCTCTAAGGCCATTGACTAGCTCTGGATGAGGACAAGGTGGGTAATGGCTGACTTTGGTTCCAAAGAAAGCTGTCTCTTCTCCATCTTCCATCCCTTCGTTAAAAGCTTTCTTTATGTAACCTTTAGGTAGATCCAAATTCTCATCCATCACTTCCATCATCTTGCTCGCTAGCTTCCTCACTTCTTCTCTGTATTCCACCATAGTCTCTCTGTTTTCAAGAAACAGAGCACATAATAAAGTTACAACCTTTGAATCTAATTTGAATGAGTTAAGATTTGGAAAAAAATGTTATGTTTACTTGAGGCCAGAAGTGTTGGATGGCCATTCGTTTTGGTTATGGTCTAAGAGAGTGAAGACATCTTCCCAATCAACGTTCTCGAGTTTCTCTCCGGAGTTTTTCTCAAGCAGTTCGTTGAGTAGCTTCACGGGAGTTGAGGTTTTGAATGCTTCTTCTCTCTCTGTTTTGTAGCACTCTGAGGCTACCTTCTTCACCTTGTTGAGAAGCTCCAATGGGATCCCATGGTTCACAAGCTACACAGAGAAAAGAATGAGACATAAGCTCATAAGAACAGAGAAATAAAATGTTCTGTTTTTTTTTTTTAAAAAAGATTCAAACCTGAAAAAATCCCCATTCTTCGCAAGCTTTAGCGATTTCAGAGTGTGTCTTCTCGCTTTCTTCACCATTGATCTTGGAGAAATCAATCACAGGAATCGCCATTGATGTGTGTTTTAGAGGCAAAAAAAAAAGCTCTGTTTTTGGAAAGTCAAAAGACAGACTCTGTTTTTGTTAATTAGATTTAGTTGTGAGGAATATGGAAAACTTAAGCCTGTATTTATACTACTCTTGGATTTTTTTCCCGTTTTGTTTTTTTTTCTCTAAAGAAATCAGATTAAAAAATGTCAACTGGTCATTTTTACGTTATGTTTGTATTATTTAATTATTGATATGTTAAGCATAACTATACTGTTGAATCTTACATTCATGTTTAAGAAAGGTTAAAATAAGTTATAAGCACTGAAATCGATGCATTTAGGAGATTTGATTGTTATGTATCAGTTTCAGTTTAGTCCACCTAATCTACTTGACTTTTGATTTTTATGCATTAAAAATGGTAAAAAGACTTGAATTGGCGTAATACTTGGACATTAATTATCTCGCTAGGTATTTGACCGATATGTTTATTCATACGTACCTACTTGTAAAGACTATTTAGTATGTGCATGGAGATGTCAATGGAAATATCAGTTTAATTCAAAATTTTAACAAGACTATTTTTTTGTATAACCGTGGTGATCTCAATCGGTAAACCCATATTAATCTCTACAAAAATTTCTATCCGGACACGCACAATTATAAATGGGAAGTTGGTCAAGACGACTCGAACCCAAAACAAACATTAGAGCTGGAGTTTCATTATCATTAGATCAACATCTCTTGGTTAGCAAGACTAGTTCATTGTTCAAAGAATAAAAGGAATTTCAGATATTAACACATTCATTTACAAAATTGTCAAATAAATATACTTTAAAATTATTAATAGAATAGCATTATAAGTTTCATCCTAATACTTTACCAATATCATTTTATGTTTTTTGAGAAAACTGTTTTATTTTTTCAATAGCGATTTATAACCGAAGACTTTTAACTTGGTTGTTTTCATCAGTTAAAAATAATTTTTTACATAAAGTACCTAAGCCCCTCTAGTTTTAACGGCACTGTCCGATTTATTGAACTGGCGTTTCTTAGAATCAACTCAGATCTAAAGAAAACATAGATCTAAAATATTTAATGTAAATGCTCTTATAAAATTTACTGGTTCAAGATGTTTTGCTTCATTGCTCTTCAGTCTTCAATTCGAATATAGATGCTTGCGTTGATAGAAATATTCTTTTGTGAATCAAAATTAACATTATGTCATGGATATACTGAGTAGGTAAAAATGTAAAATATTCTATTTTGGAATAAAAAACATTGAATCAAACTAACCTTTCTTAATTTATTAAAAATGATTTTCTTAATAGTGATCAGGAGTTCAGAACACACATTAACCACATTTTTCAGAAAGTCAGGTAAAAAAAAGAGAAAGTCCAACATCAAGAAATATGCACTTAACAAAACAATTATTTCTCATGTGCAAGGATGACACGCATAAATCGAAAAAAATTGTCCAAAGTTTAATTTTTTTAAAAAAAATCTTTCAATCAATTAAAAATTATAGAGGTTATAATAAGGTTAGTCCTCCTTTTTTTTATTGTTAAAGTTTATCCTTATCATACGTCTTCACTTTAAGATCACGATCATTCATACATGATTTAGTTAACATAAAAAGAAAGAGACATAGATCTGCGTTTTATATAATTGAAGCACCTTCATAGTTATGAGTTATGAACGTGGAGTGTAATAATAGGTTTGCGAATTATATCCAGAATAATTAAGTAGACATTGTTTTCATGGTTTACGTGGACAAATTAGGTACATGGAGGATTTATTCATATACACTGATCTCAATGTCAAAAAAAAAAGAGAACGTTATAGAGATTTTTATCCGGCAAGCTACCAAATATAATAGTGGAAGATATTTTTTTCTTTTTTTGTCGTCATAGTAGAAGATAACTAACAAAAAATTATAGAGGAAAGTTATTAGTTGAAATAATGGTCTTTACAGCACAGCCATCTCTGCTGTGCACATGAGCAGGTGATGCCTCGTTTTGTCTTCAACCCAAATCTCAATGCCTTTGTCTGACTGAATATACACACAGTAACAAAATGCTTATATATATTATATATATATATATATATTCAATTTTAAATGATCTTTTAGTATTATGAGAATAAATCTTGAGATCAGTATTACAAAACAACTGATGATCAAATTAAATGATAATTTTTTCACATTTTATGTTTTGGTAAAGTCGGTAGGAAAATAGATCATGTCAGAAAACTTGAAGTGGTTGACTGTTAAGTAGATTATTTATCTTTGTTTGTTTGTTGATGTACTGATGTACTTCCGGAGTTGTCCTCGTCGGTGCATGTGTGTGTAATGTTTCCTTCTTCTGCATCCATCATGCATGATAGCTTGTAATAGAGCTAGAGTTAGGTCTTAATTATTTGATTTTGCTTGAAGTTATGATAGTGATAGTTGTTACATGGATCTCTCTGTTGTATGTTTGCAAGTATTTTTGATATTATTAATGCATTTCCATCTCATTAATATTTGATTTTGTAGTAGTTATGATAGTGTTTTGTAATATGGATCGCTGTTATATGTTTGCTAGTATAATTGACATTATTAATTAATACACCTCCATCTCATAATTATGTAATTTTGCTAGTAGTTATGACTTATGATAGTGATTTGTTATATGGATCTCTATGTATATGTTTGTTAGTATTATTAACATTATTTATGCATTTCCATTTCATGGTTATATATAAGTTGATATGTGATTAATTAAAATGATCACCTGGAAAAAATGATCATCTTGCTACCACGTTGAAAAAAAAACAATTTGCTAACTATTTCACATGCAGGTCGTCAATTTGCCACTATAAACCCTAAAATATTATTTAAATATATATATTATATATGTAAATATATACCAAACAATTAAAGCAAGTATAAACTAAATCCCAAAAACCATTTTCCAAAAAGAAAAAGAACCTTTCTTTCCAAATTTATTTATGATATATCTACCTTTTCCAATTGATAAAAAGCAAACCGTCCATGATCACATGGGACTACACTTGGAAGTGGTGTTTATATTATTAAATGTTGGTTAATAATCGTTCATTTGTTTTTAATAAAATAAAAGTTTAGATAGTTTATGATCCAAATGCATTCCCCCGTCCCACTGTTTTTGTAAGATCAAAGAGTAACAATAATACTAACAAATAAGATACAAAATACAAAATACAAAATAATACTGAAAGCTATAGAACTATAAATTTGTTTTCAATAA